TCCTGTGGGGTTGTAACTCTCTGGACCAGTAAGAAATGTAAAGGTTTGAGTGGTCTGGTGTTATGGAGTTAAATGAAATAACACACAGGAACTTTCTGTGGGGATTAGGGATGGATTTCTGTACCAGAACATGGATGGGCACCTCTTCCCTGTGCCATTGCAGTGGTTACTGTAAGGACTGGGGGCTTTAATGCCTGCACTTTGTGGAAATCCACATGGAATTTGCTCCTTAGCCATTAATACCCGAAACATTTAAGAGCTGAGAACAAATAAATGTTATAAATTCTGCTTTAGCAATTCTTACTTTCCACAGAATCCCAGAAGGGTTTGGGTTGAAAGGACCTTCTGGATCATCCCATTCCAACTCCCTGACGCCTTCCACTAGCTCAGGTTTCTCCAAGCTGGCCTTGGACACTTCCAGGGATCCAGGGGCATCCACAGCTTCTCTGGGCAACCTGTGCCAGGGCCTCCCCACCCTCCCAGCCAGGAATTTCTCCCTAATCTCTCATCTAAACCTACCCTCTTTCATAAAAACATTTAAATACTTTCCACAGAAGAAGCAATTAAGGACTTTTTTTTTACTCCTTTTTGTGCTGTTTCACACCCTGAAGAAGGTTTGATGTGATCAGTTGTGGTGGAGGTGGAGTGAGATGTTAACTGAGACAGGACACTTCAGACCCAGCAGAAATGCAAGGTTTCTTCCAAGTATTTCTTGCAAAAACAAAAAAAGCAGTTGTTGGATATTATTTGCTCATAATGGATCCAGGGAAGCTGCCCTGAACAGCAATGTGAGCCACACAAGGCTGGGCTGAGATGAGCAGCTTTCCCTTCACCCTGTGCTCCCAGGATTTTAAATATGTATTTCCTGGTGTTGTCACGTCACAGCAGGTTAACTCTCATTCAGAGTAACAGGAAAATTATTCCCCTATTTTAGCCTTCCACAGGACCTGCAGGAAATTCAGCAGGAAGGTAAATTCTGCCTTGGGTTGGATGGAACATCATCTACTCCCTCCTTAAACAGGATAAAGCCAATCCAACACCAGGATTCCTGAACTGTTGCCAAGAGCTTCCAAATCCTATTCCTGTGTCCCAGAGTGAGGATTGTTTTGACAAGGTGTCCCTGTGACATTCCCTGGGAGCTTTGCTGGGCAGGAGCTCCTCAGTCTCCTGGTCTCTTCCCCAGTCTTGTCCAGCCAAGGATTACATCCTGTTGGAGTGCTCCAGAGTCTTGGAAAGTGGAAGCAGATCCCTGCAGAGCAGCACCAGGCTATTCCAGAAGGCTTCATCCCACAGCAAATCTGAAATCCCAGAATCTTTAAGGTTGGAAAAGGCCTCCAGGGCCAACCTTTGTCCAAATCCCCCCCGTGCTCTTCAGATCTCAGCCCTTCAGTCCAGGGGCTCTGCCCAACCTGCTCCTCTCTGCTGCTCATCCTTGGAAATACTCCAAGGATTTTTCTTTCCCCCGGAGCGTTTGGAGCTTTCCATTTGTAAGTGGCACATCTGAAGAGAATGTTCTGTGTTAGGGGACTTGAGGGAACACTCCCAGGACTGTGGTTATGCCTCTCCAGTCTTCCTTTAGGAAGGAGCTGTTATTCCTGTTAAATGTAGATTTAATGTGGTGCTCTTGCAGAAATGTGGGATCCTGAGTCTCCATGTTCCATTTCTAGCTCAAAAAAACCCCCCTTTTTTATTAAAATCAGTCAGGTCTGTAAGGTTTACTGTGTTTTAACATGTTGGCATAACAAGAGTGTCAGGAATGAGGCAGAATTGACAGGGGATCCCAAATAAAACCTGTTAATGTTGTTACTCCAACAGTCATCGGTGCCTTTTGTGTTTGAATTTTTGGATTGCTGTTTATTCTGATGGATTAACTGTTTCAACCTCACACTCCCACGTTTGTCTCACCTTAACAAACCACCCAAACTCGAGAGCTCAGTCTCACCTGGTCACCTTGGAAAGCTGTTCTGGGGAAATAACAGAATTTTGGGGGAATAACATCATTGTGAACTTCTGTCATGAAGAGTTAAATCATGGAGGGGGGGAGGAATTATTCCTGAAGACATTCAGATTGTTTCCCAGGTATTCAGAGATCAGTGCCTTGATGCTGCATTTTCCCCTTTTCACGACACAATTTTTGGAAAGATGATTATTTAAATTTAATCCGAATGCAGCGGTTTTCCATTTTTATGGATATCGCCGAGCCCGGAAGCAGCTTCCTCCACATTAAATTCATTCAGGTTTATAAACAATTTTTAAAGGGCATTAATTTAGTCATCTGCTGATGGTTCTGAACAGAAGAATACGTGAAAATATTCAGTGAAAAGATGCATCCCTTAGTTCACCCAAACTGTACATTAACTGTGCAATAGCAGCTTCACTCTCGTTGCTTTTAAGATGTAGTTGCATCCACATATAAATAGAATTTCCTGGCAGGTTTATATTTACTCAAAGCCTTGTTTTAATGGTTCCACTGACATTGAAAATCTTGGTTTTGAGCTCTTTAAATGGCTGCAGCTGTTAACACCTCCCTGGGCTGAAAAACTCGGGGGAAACGCCTCACGTCTGTCCTGCATCCTTGTTTTTCAGGCTGTTTTATTGGAGCCAAGGAGTCATGAAAGAAAGCCAAGAAGACAACTTGGACAGCGAGCAGAAGATAAAAAGCAAACAGAAAGAATGTGGCATGCAAAGGGTGTAATACCTGGAGGTGTCGGAGCTGACTCATATTTATAAAAAAAAAATGAGACGAGCTTTCACCAAGTACAAGTTCTCTTAAGCCAGTCCTCGAGCTGGGAGCCATGCTGGGGAACTAGGAATCCTCCTTTTCCCCCCCTCCTCCTTTCTGACAGGGAACGGAAGGATTGGCGAATTATGATTTGCCCAAGTCGGAAGCACTAATTTTTTTTCCTCTCTAGAGTTCGTCCTTATGAATAGATAAGGAGTTTAAACCTTGCATATTTAATGTGGACTGTGGTGGGAAAGTGACTCGTTGAACCAAAATGGCCCCTGGGAAGGACTTGGTTTCAAACTGAGCTCGGAGCCTCCCGATGCACTTTGTCCGAGTCGGGATCAGCCGTGCTGCAGGGCCTGCTCTGGGAGGCCAGGATGACATGTAGGAGAAGGAGATCCCCCTCCTGTTGATATCTCTGGAGAACTCACGACCAGAAACGGGAAAATGAATGGTGGGAAGGAGTGTGACGGAGGGGACACGGACGGAGGGCCACCAGCAGTGCAAGTTCCCGTGGGGTGGCAGCGGCGGGTGGACCAAAGTGGAGTTCTCTACATCAGGTAAGGTCACCCCAGGGGCTCCTGCTTTCATTGCTCTGGGGGTTCTGTCACTCAATTAATTCACTCTGCCAGCTGGGGCAGGAAATGAGGGACTCGGCTCCTTCCTCGCGCTCAAAAACGTCATGGGAAACTTCTTGTTTTCCAGGTGGATTTTTGAAGCTGAAGGAGGGCAGGGTGAGATGGGATATTGGGAAGGAATTCTTAGCTGGGAGAATGGGGAGGCCCTGGCCCAGGTTGCCCAGAGAAGCTGTGGCTGCCCCTGGATCCCTGGAAGTGTCCAAGGCCAGGTTGGAGCAACCTGGAATAGTGGGAGGTGTCCCTGCCCATGGCAGGGGGTGGAATGAGATGATCTTTAGGTCCCTTCCATCCCAAATTATTCCAGGATTCTGTGATTCTTTTGAAAGGGAATTTAGGTTATGTAACTACTTAATACCTGTAGAACTTTTGTGGCTACTCAGTAACTCCAAAAAACATCACTTTTGTTATGCCCATGAAAGTTCTCTGTTCACTCTCACTGCTGTTCTCCAGCAAGATTTACTCCTATGGATTCCTCACATCTCTCCTCTAGGAAAAGAAACAGGAACATAAGCCTAAATCCGAAGTTTTAGGTACTTTATTTGTTTATTTTCATAGCTTATTGGTTTTTTTGTTGGTTTTTTTTTTGCTTCACCCCAGAACGGTCACGAAGAAATGCGTTGAAATTGGTATTAAATCAATGTGTTCAGACAAACAGACAGTAAATTAAATGTTATTGGAAAAAAAAGATCAAAGTCAGCTTTAACAAAATTTGGAGAGGGCAGGTTTACCTCACACAGGTCCAGGCTGTTATTTACTTAATCTCATTCCACTATTCTGTCATTAAAATAACCGGTCCCTCACAACATTTTATGTATTACCAGGACAAAACCCTTTAATGAGTCAAAGCCTGCTCCAATTTTACACTAAACTACCATAAAAGATCAGATGCATTCCGGGATTTCTTGTTGATGTTCCCAATTAGCAGAATCCAACCAAATCCGTGTCAGTGATACCCATGGCAGGAGAGAAATCGCCTTCCCTTGCACTTCTCATTACAGCTCTAATTTACTGGGCCTCTGCCTGAGTTAAAAATCAATGAGAAAGGAAAAGTTCTGGATTGGTTGAGGGGTTTTTTTCCCCAATAATCTTTATATCCAGGCACCAGGACATGGAATGCTTTGGTATTTTTACGTGATCCCACCTGCTTCTGAACTTGGTTTTCTACAGCTCTGAGAAGTTTCATACACTTCCTACAGCCTTGGGAGTGACTGTATTATTTCTGCCCTCTTGCCATGTATTTTTTTATTCTTTAATTCAGTGGTTAAAGGGTAGAAGTCAAATAGTCCCATCTCCTGCTTGACATGGAGCATCCACAGGGCTCAGCCAGGGCAGCTGGATCTCCAAGGATTGAATCCTGCTCTGCCCTGAAGTGTGCACAGCATTTATGGAGACAAGGAAAGGTCAAACAATATTGACTCCACAGCTATCCTAGGGAAAATTAGTGGATATATTAAGATCTGACATGATTTAACCAGGGTAGATGATCCCAGCTGAATACAGACCCTGTGTTTGTGCTCCCCTGTAAAGCACACAGGCTTTGCTGGCAGCTGGCAGCACTTGCTTTGGATTAAATCAAGATTAAATCCATTAATTAACTAGTTTTTATTACCTGGTAAAAGCACTGAGTTGATTCTCAGGGCTTTGCTTGGTAAAACTGTGCTGCTGCCTTAAAGTAGGGCCTAAACCATCCCTGGAAGTGTCCAAGGCCAGGTTGGACAGGGCTTGGAGCAACCTGGGCTGGTGGAAGGTGTCCCTGCCCATGGCAGGGGATGGAATGAGATGATCTTAAGGTCCCTTCCAACCCAAACCATTCTGTAATTCCATGGATTCTTGCAAAGGAAGCGTGAGGAGATCCGTGCACACAAAAGAGATTTTGCAGTTCTAGCTCTGCCCAGGAACAGGAAAAAAAAATGGGCCTTTTTAGAATTTGGTGGGTTCTCGTGGACAAATAACCCTGGCTGTATGTGCAGGAGGGATGGTGGATCCCACATCCCACAGATTCACTGGACTGACCTTCCCTCACACCCTCTGATCGTGAGCACAGTGTGGGGTTTTTTCCAGGCTCCAGGATCTCCTCAATCCTGAACTGGTCATGTGTGTCCAGGCAAACTGCACAAAAGGGTTATTTAAGATTGATTTATTCCAGAAATATTCCAGAAAAAGGAGCATTTTTTTTTGTTTACCCAGTCCCAACTCCAGAGCATATTTAACATGAATTTTTAAGCATCCCAGAAAGTGTCTGTGGAGATCTTTGGTGCAGATGGGATGGTCCAGAGCAAATCCCATGGGAAGCTGTTCCATCGTCAAGTGTGGAGCTGAGCATAGTTCAGGACAGGCTGGCAAAGTCCAAAGGGATCATGGTTTAACCAGTCTAGAGCTGGAATTAAAATAAACTGGAAATCAAGAGTAGTTTTCCCCCTCCTCCCCAAGGATTGCAGACAGGGAAGGTTTGACTTCCTGACCTGTCACTTCAGCCCTATTTTTAGTTTGCTCTTTCATCTTCCTCACCCTCAAAACTGTCACTGTTACACAGATTCAGCCTGAGCACTTCTCCCAAAAATAACTATTCCAGGGCAAGTCTGGCAAATAAATCCCTGATTTAAAGTGTCAGCAGAGCTGGAAATGTCACTTGCAGATGTTGCTTTAGATGTCACTTGGTTCTAGTGACGAGAGGAGACGTCTCCACCTTGGGTTTTAAGCGCCAAAGTTCGTCACAGTTTGTTTGGAATTTGTTTTCCTGATCCAAGCTATTCCACTTGGGTTGTTTTCATTAAAAATGGGGCTATTTACAACTCCTGGCTCCTGGGTGGGCTGTTCCTCACTTCTACTGAGAGGGTCCAAGTCTTAACTGGATGAAACCAAACTTTCTGCAACTAAGAGACCTGGATGCAGCAGTTTTATTTCCTTTAAAACATGTTTGAGAGGGGTTTTTTTTGGTGTTTTTTTAATAAGTCTCGTTGCAATTCTTGACAAAAAGCAAGAAATAATATGAAAAAAGAAGTAAATATCATCTCTCCTTGTGAGTTTTTAGACTGGCAGGTGCAAGTCATGACCTGTCAAATAGCTTTTATTGATCATTTCTGTTCCTTTACAGTCCCAGTGGGTCTTTATTATCCTGCTTGGAGCAGGTGAAGACTTACTTGCTGACTGATGGAACGTGCAAGTGTGGCCTAGAATGTCCTCTTGTTCTTCCCAAGGTAAAGCAAAGCAGCATTTTGGGTCTTTACTGGAATATTTATGATGCCAGCTGATGTGCTGTGCCATGGCTTGACCTCTGTTCACATCATACATGTGTATATCAAATAAGTAGAGTGCACCCAAAGTTATACCCTAAAATCCAAAAGTTAATCTCCCCTCTGCCTCCTCCCCTCTTGGAAAGGATCTGACTTGTTTATTATAAATATATTTATCATTTCCAAACTTCCTGTCAATGTAGGAGCAGTCAAAGAGCTCTGAGGAACAGAGGAAAATTCCTGTATATTCTGTATAAAATTGAGGCGTGTTTGGTGAGTTTTCTGCCCATAATCATTGCTTAAACACTGGAATTTTCACTCCCAGGTGTTTAATTTCGATCCTGGAGCTGCTGTGAAGCAGAGAACTGCTGAAGATGTCAAAGCAGATGAAGATGTCACCAAACTATGCATCCACAAGAGGAAGATCATTGCTGTGGCTACACTGCACAAAAGCATGGAAGCACCTCATCCTTCCCTGGTTCTCACCAGTCCTGGGGGTGGAACAAGTGAGTAAAACTTAAATCCTGCAGAATCACTTAATAATCTTAATTTTGTATGTGTAATTACTATGCAAAACCGCCCCCGAAAGTCTGATGTGTCTGTGAGTGCAAAAATAAACAGATTTAAGGAATAAATGGAGTGATCAGAGATGTGGGAAGATAGAAAATGAGTTTAATCAGGTCATTCCCAGCCTAAGAGCATGATTTTCTTGGGAAAGGTATCAGATTGTTCTAGAACAAAGAAAATACATTAACTCTCATCTTTGGGAACTGTGGCAGTATGTCTGATATTCTGTCACATGGGAAATTAGAGGAGCAGAATAAAGTGATTATGAAGGGATTAGGACGTGGCTAAATGGGAAATTGTGTTGTAAAGGAGAAGATACAGCAAAGGAGATCTCCACTGTAATTTCTCAAGGATTATTTTTAGGCACCAACCTGGATTAGCATTTTAATTATCCATGTCAACATAAAAAAAAAAAAGAAAAGAGGTAATTTGTTGGTGGCTGGGAGTTGACAGGTGTTACCAAAACAAGAGAAGGTCAAAAGCACGTTGTAAAACTGGGGGGATCACTGAGATCTGGGGCGAAAGAAAAGGTGTAACAACAAATCCTGATGATTCTGAGGTTGTTCACCTGGAAAAAACAACTTTTAGCTGTAAATTATTGAGAAATGAGACCCAGATATTGAGAAGTAAGACCCATAAGATCAGATGGCAGGATGGTGCTGACCAGTGTGAAGTTTAACCCACGCTGTTCATAGGACTGATTTTTACATTGAAATTTAGGATTTCAAACCTCTCTTTAAACTTTTTTGCAATGTCATTTCATTTTTAACTAGCAGTGCAATTTCCCGAGGTGCTACACATTTTCCTCCTTAATTTTTTGATGAGTAGTACTTAAATTACATTCTTGTTTTCAAAAAATTAGCAGAATGAAGGAGGTGAAACCAGGTGAGTATTCAAGACATGAGTGACATTCAGGTGATTTTACCTTCTCTGTCGGTCAGAATTTTGTGCCCTAAGCAAAGAAGAAAATTTCCCAATAAATGGCCTTTGTAAGCAAAATATCTTTTCATTTTCACACCCTTGCATGTGACCATTTGCTTAGTTCCAGCATTCAAGGTGAGGCCTCTCATACTCATTTTATTTTGCAGTTCAGCCTTGAGTTTTGTCCCCTAAATTGACACTTTGGTTGTATTTTGGGACAGGTAAAATGTTTGTTCCTGTGGCGATGTGGCTGGTCGTGCAAATAGGATGAAGGCAGGAATGTCAGTCTGCCCAGGCTGAAGGAGAGATGGGAAGGGGATTCTTGAGAGCAGGAGAATTTCCAGGCACCTCTGAGTTCCTCTGAACGTGGAATTTGCAGCTCCCAACTGGAGTTTGCACATTGGGGGGCTCCGTGCCAAGCGCTCCGAGCTGAATTGCAAATTCCCAGAGCAGCACAACTGGCAGAAAGTCCCTGAGATTTTGGAGCTGCTTGTGATGATATTCTGAAAGTAAAACATTGGGGGAAAAAAAAAATCTTTTGAAATAAAGATGGGAAGTGGCCTCGTGCTTGTAGGAAGGCCTGGGCTCAAAAGTGGGAATTTTTCTGTCATAGAGGGGTTCCTGTGTCAGCATGTGCAAATATCCCCACGGCTTTTATCCTGAAAACAACCCCCTAAAGCATCCAGAATCCCTCATCAGGGACAGCGTTTGGGACAGCACCTGGAAGTGAGTCTCAGTCCTGGCTGGGCTTTGTTCCTCCTGTCCTCAATAGATGGTGCCAGAGGCTCCTTTTCCCTGCGACAGCAGCTCCCTGCTCCTGCCAGAGAGCTGCTGCTGGAAATCCGGGAGTGGGACGCTGGAGGTGATGCTTAGAAAAGACAGAAGGGCAGGAGAAAGATTTCCAGTTGTCCATATTTATGTGGGATTTAAATTAAGATCTGTACAGGGCCCAGCAGCTCCTCAATGTCTGGTGTTTCATTCCCGTGGAAGCCCAAGTTTAGCCAAAGGCTTCCTTGCTTTTAGGAATATTATCACACCCTGTGGTTCTGCACTGAAAAACCTGTGATGCTGCGTTTCCAAACAGTGACTGTTGTGTGTTTGTAACCCCAGGTGCAACTCCAGTAGTTCCCACTCGAGCAGCAACTCCGAGATCTGCGAGGAATAAACCGCATGAAGGAATTACAAATTCCGTGCTGCCGGAATGTAAGACTCCTTTCAAGCTGATGATTGGGGCATCCAATGCCATGGGGAGGCTTTACGTGCAAGAGATGGCCGGGAGCCAGCAGCCAGAGCTCCATCCTGTGTATCCCAGGCAGAGGTTGGGGAGCAGTGAGCTGGGACAGAAGTCTCCGTACCGGGGCAGCCACGGCGGGATGCCCAGCCCGGCTTCCTCGGGGTCGCAGATCTACGGCGACGGCTCCATCTCTCCCAGGACTGACCCGCTGGGGAGCCCCGACGTTTTCACCAGGAACAATCCCGGTTTCCACGGAGCTCCCAACTCCAGCCCCATCCACGTGAGCAGGACGCCGCTGTC